GTTGGTAAATGGCTAATTATGTTTTTAAGTGGTCCGTTTTCCAGTTTTACAAGGAAAATATCAGCCAGTAGAGGGCCCAATGGTGATCCGATGGCAACTCCATCTAGCCGTCTATAGTATTCGTTTTCAAATCTGAATTGTGCATTCATTGTGCATCTAAGAATTAACTGTTTTATCGCGGATGCTGGAATTGGGGTTTTTATGCGCCTCTCTGTTAGTTCATTGCAAATAAAATCAACCGTTTCTAGTAGTGGAATGTTAGTGAATTTTCACTATAATGAGACATTTACCAAGTGAGTTCTGGGAATCTAACATTACCAACACCTATACGAGAAGCAAACAGTTCTCAAGTGTTTCCTGGTTTCCAGTATTATCTTAAACGAGATTAGTCTCAAATAATTACTACTTACTAATGACAAAATTATTTTGCCTTCATCATTTGTTCTTATTTATCTTTATCAGCTTTTCAATCTCATTATTGCTTTATTTTAACGTATAACATCTTGAATCAATACATTGCTTTGTCACTTTATTATTTTTTATTTTGTTTTCATCATATTATTTTAATATATTTTTACTATGTTATCTACTTACACAGATCTTACAAATTATCGTCTACTCCAAACACAAAATGAAGATTTAACATCCAAAGCGTCACGTTTAGCATTAAAACGCATTATCAATCCGGAAAGTAACACTTCATCTACAGTAACATGTCAACATGAACAATCTTCTACTTCTCGATCTCATGAACATCAAAAAGTCGATCCAAATATTACTTTTCAAACTACAGATTCAAATATTTGTGGAGGTCAACAATCGCAACGTTCCCCATCCCATTTAGTCAGTTCAGACCAAATCAATCCTACGAACAGTCCAAATTATTCTGGTACACATAGTCGTCGTACATCTGAGGGAAGATCGAGTACATGTGGGCTGGATTCCACAGATTGGTTAAATTCCTTATCACCGGATCAATTAGTTAAACGATTAAGATGTACTGATAATTTAGCTGAACAAGTTGAAATACTTGGAAGATTACATCAATTATGTGGTTTAGACTGGAATACTGGAATAGACCCAACACAACCAGCTACTGTTCGTTCATTACTAAAAGAGGTTTGTATCCATGACAACAAAACTGTGCAACTGTTTTATTTCGTCTTATATTTACTATCTGTTTATATTATACTAAATTAAACTTAAGCTCTTACCGATTTACTCGATTTTCATTCAGCATAGTATGAAGACAAAGCTTAAATAGTGTATACTACTATTCTTTCAAGCAAATAGTTTGTCTGAAATATACAACTTTACTAACAGCATTGAATGTTATTCAAACTGTCGGTTATATCATTTTTTGTGTCAATTGAGAGAAATCCTTCAGAAAATATGCTACGTCCCTTATTAATAGGTCTAATTAACCTTTGCATTAGTTCATGATTTTTTCTTTGAATAAACTGACTTTACTTTTTTTCCTATAGTGAATATGATGACTTTATAATACATTAATTGAAATGATTATGTTGCGTAAATTTTGGTGTATGAGTTGTAACATCTAGAATTCTTTACTGGAGTAGTATATTGGTTTCACAACTCACTGTTCAACTGTACACCTGATTAATATTGATTATAGTTTGATGTCAATACTTGTTGAACAACAATTAGCTTACCGTGCAATTTTCTTGCTCAAAATTCATTGGTTAGTGTGTATGAAAATTTGTTTGATTTCTTTGAAATGATCATTATTCTACACTCAATTCTTTTGACCTCTTCAAATTAGGATTTTTACTACAGTTATGTGTTAACCAAAAAGACACTTAGAAACTCAGATATTCTTCTGGTATACTTTCCAGGGTAGTCCTACTCACTCCCTTCATTTTTCAGGTGTGCTGTGTATGGGAACTAAAAGACAGGAAACCAATGTCTGGTTGGTGGATATGAAGGATCCTCCTAGAGGGAATAGGAAGACTCTGATTCCAAACCAATGATGTACATAGGCTCCATGATCCTTAGGGAACAAATAACATACTAATCCATTTTGGTCATCGGCTACCACAGGACTTCATATCCTGACGTTGTTGCACGGTATTATATGTTTGGAAATCATTGTACTCCACTTATAAACATTATTCGTGCAGTGAATGTTGTTGGTACTGCCCGGTTGCGCCAAATTTTTATGAATTTACTAGAAGGAATTATTGTTTTTAGTGTGAATCTGATAGAATATAAAGTTTATCACAAACTATTTCATCCACCTCAATATCAGCACTTTTTTTCAACAGCTGAAACGTGCTTTTATGGTTGATAAACTTATACTATTCATAGATTTTTGTGCAAAAATTTGCTCATGTATACAATATATTTTGTTTATGGAAATCTATTTTATCACCAAATTCTGTTTCATGTGAAAATTTAAGAGATTATACCTGTTTCTAAAATCTTTGCAAAATGTTTCTATCTTCCCTTAAGTTACATGTTCAAATCTGGTTTTATCTACTTTAACATTTGGATATCATATATCATTATCACTTACTGTAAGCTCACTCAGTACAGTAAGTTGTATGTAGATTTACTGAATTAATCAGTAAACGTTCTCGTTGGCTGCTGAGAAATACAACTTAAATCATTTAGAAACTTTCATGAATCAAGATCCATCGCGATGGCTCCGGTGCATTGGGTTTTTGTTTTCCTTTGGATATTGAGTTCTTTAAATTCTTTTAAACCTTTTTACTTCCCAAATTTAGCTTTTCCTCTTGAATCCTATTGTTTACATCTTGATGATTTCATGGACATATACACCCAGACCCTACGTTGCTTATGATTGACCGATAAACTTTCATTATTCTTTAAGGACAGTTTCTTTTATCTTGTTATGATTGGTTTGAACTTATCTTAGTGAATGCATGTAAAGATGATCTAAAAAAATATCAGTTCGTTTATTCATCACAAAAAGCAATTTCACGTTTTTATTTATATTTGGTGAGTACAACACAAGACAAATAAAACATTGCTATAGGACTCTAATAGTGCACTCTAACCCGATGCATCGAACCGAGAGAATTCTGGTCTGATGATGAACTGTTTTTACTTTAAAACTGAGCCGGCATTCAATGGTTTACATGTCTAACTTCAACCTAGGCTATGCGATTAATGGCACTAATCTGGGAATTCCTTCTTGTTTTGATTAGCTTAATCTGTTATTTGTTGTGTTTTTTTTGCTGATAGTAATTTGTGAATATTGAGGCGATTCTCTAAATCACTACCTAATCGCCTGTGTAACATGTAATTCGGACTAATTTTCTTCGTATTGAAATGTGTGTTGTAGCCATTTTTAAGCACAAAAGTCTATCCGTTTGATCAGTCAGTCAGTCAGTCAGCTACAACGTAGGACCAGGCACATATATGCATCGGTCCAAGTTGACATACCGCATTAACACAACAAGATGGACACCGGATTCATAAAAGTAATTCATTCAGAGGTGGTAATATATAAAAGAAAGATTGCAATAAGGATATAGTACAGGAAGAAAGAATTAGTTCGTAGAAAGAAGGATATGAAGCGATTTTAATCTCTTAGTTTAAGGGAAGACAGAGAGTGTATACACCTACGTCATTCTGATCGATTCTGAGCCATGTCACCAAGAGTCTCCAACAATTGGTTACGATAGTCACGCGGACCCCAACCAAGTAGTCTGCATCTACCAACACAGCTCAGACTAGAAGTTAGTGACTTCAAGCACTGATGCCACGTTCTCGTTTGGCCGCCCCTAACTTTCTTCCAACCATCCCGAACATCGGTTAGCATTGCACGTCGTGGTAATCGGTGTTCAGGCATACGTAACACGTGGCCCAACCATCTCAGCTGATGAAGACTCACAACCTCATCAAATGATTTACCATCATTCCCTAATACCCTGCGTCTAACCTCACTATTACTTACTCGGTGATCCCAACAGACGCCAGCAATATTTCTGAGGCATCTGTGGTCAAATACTAGTAGCTTACGAGTGTCTTCTACTCTTAATGGCCATGTTTCGTTGCCGTAAATTAAAACAGAACGGACTGCCGCTCAGTATACTCGTCCTTTTATTGATAGACGGATATCTCGCCTTCGCCACAGGTGACGTAAGTTGGCAAAAGCCAAACGAGCTTTTCGAATCCGTGCTGAGATTTCGTCAGACACCAACTCATTAGGGCTGATCAGACTTCCAAGATAAGTGAAGTTGTCGATGCGTTCGACTACTTCACTCCTTATCCTTAGTTCAGGTGTTGACGCAGCCCAGTCCTGAAGCAACAACTTGCATGTAAAGGGAGAGAAGCGCATTCCAAACATTCTGGCATTGTTGCTTAGTGCTACCAGAAGACTGCATTTTATCAGCGTCTTCACCAAACAGGACTATGTCATCTGCGTATTCTAAGTCGATAAGTGGACCTCCTGGTAGGAGATCAATACCCGAGAATTCAGTCGACGAGAATGTTATTTCTATCAATAGGTCTATGATGAAGTTAAACAAAAATGGAGAAAGTGGACAGCCTTGACGGACACCACTTGAGGTTGCAAAATCAGATGACAGTTCGCCGTAAGCTCTGACTCGACTGGTAGTGGTCGAGTAAAGAGCCTTCACAAGGTTTATGTACTTCTGAGGTACGCCTTTCAATGGCAGACACTGCCACAGAATCTCGCGGTCTACAGAGTCAAATGCTGCTTTCAAGTCAAGAAAGACCACCATTGTCGGACGCCGATAAGTATGCCCATGTTCTAGAACCTGACGAATGGTGAATATGTGGTCGATGCAGCCACAACCAGGTCTGACGCCAGCTTGATTCTCTCGTGTTCGCAGTTCACGAGTCTTAGGCGTCTGATAATTATCGAGGCTAGTATTTTAGATACTATATTAGTTAAACTAATCTGTGGCAAGCCCATTTGGCCACTGTATCATCTGTCTATTCATTGTAACTTAGACTCGTAATTCACTATGTTAATTTCGGTGTGTATGATCGAATGCATGTCTGTACATTAACTTTTAAACTATTTTCCTATTGGTTTCAACGTGCAGATAATCGATAGTCTATCCACACCTGATTAACCCTCAAAAATATATATGGATTTTTAACAAACTCACACTCTCTGTTCCCATCGTGTGCTTGCTCACAATACGCTTGTGGATTATCATTATTCATTAATAATAAACTATCTCCATAACTGGTGTTCAGGCTTCTTAATAATCTCGAGTAAATCCGTAATTCTACTAGGAGATTAAGCCTACCTTAAATACTCAGTTACGGAATATCATTATTTGGAGTCAGATATTAAGGACCTTATCCATAACATATTGGTGACCCGCCTTTAGAACGCGCACCATTTTCCTCCAAAGTCTGCTGCATTCTCCTCAAGAGTATCATAAAGAACTTCATATTGGAATTATTATTATAATTAATAACAATCCATTGACAGTCATAATAAATTCACTCATAATATTTTCCCTTTGGAATTATTACTGTATATTCTCATACATATACCCAAAGTGACAATTTTTCTTTTCGGTGAGTCTTATATATATTTTTTTTGTTGTTATTTTTGATTTCTCTTCATATTGTATATTACAATCCTCAGCTTATTATTACTATTGCTTTTTCGTATCATGGCACTTGATAATTCGTTAAGCCTTTCATCTAAATCTATTTCCGTGGGTGCCATCTCTGTACCTTTACCCATTTTTAATCCACGAAAGGCTGAACTCTGGTTTGCTCGTTTGGAAAGCTTTTTTGTTGCAAACAAAATCACAAACCAGAGTACGAAATTTAGTTATGCGAATTCACTGCTGCCAGATGACGTCATTGAACAAGTGCCGGATGTCATTTTTAAGCCGGATCCTAACTCACCATTCGATTGTCTAAAAAGAGAGGTCATTCGTGTCACATCTCTCACCGACCAACAGACAATTGATCAACTTTTAGCCAACGTAGAGCTAGGTGACAATACACCGTCACAGTTAAAACGCCACATGACAAACTTATTAGGAAATCGTACAGTAGACAAACGTCTACTATATCAATTGTGGCTCAGACGTCTCCCTCAAAACATTCAACAGATACTAGCAATTGGAGACGAAGACGTTGATTTTGATAGACTAGCAGACATAGCCGACAGAATTTACGAACGGTCCAAGACTCACCTTGTATCTCAAATCCAATCAAGCTCAGCTGACGAGATCGCCGAGTTACGACGATCAGTTGATACCCTTACGAAACAGATAGCTCAGATCCAATTATTGAATGCCTCCCACAGCAAGCGTAGAGGAACATCCACAAGCCGTAGACGACGTAGTCCAAGCACTACTAGACACAACATTTGCTGGTACCATAGAACATATGGCAAACAAGCTAGAAAATGTACTCCGCCTTGTAACTTTGCAAGCACACAGAAAAAGGAACGTCAAGACCGTAGGTTAATGACGACTGCACTCACTGACCACAACTTTCAAGACAGTCGTCTATTATATGTTACAGACAAAAGAACCGGCACACAGTTTTTAGTCGACACTGGGGCAGAGGTTAGTGTAGTACCACCTACCGCACTCGAGAAAAACACACCTGACCCCAAACTAAAACTACAAGCTGCAAACAGGTCTGACATCAAGACGTACGGAAAAAGGCGGTTGCAATTAAATTTCGGTCCTAAATCTAATTTTTCCTGGAGTTTCATCATAGCGGACGTCCTCGTTCCTATAATCGGCATTGATTTTCTGCAATTTCACAAAATACTGGTAGATGTCAGAAATAGGAAACTTGTCCTTGCCGAACAGAGTAAGGAAATTAGAGGAATTATATCAAATGAGACTTCCATACATTTATTAGTTAAACCTCATCATGAGAACGACAAATACGTCAATTTACTTAATCAGTTTCCAGATTTATTACGACCGAGTTTCAAACACGACAAACCGACGCATACCGTCGTACACCACATAAAGACAGAGGGTCCACCTGTGTTCGCACGTCCAAGACGCCTTGATCCCTCTCGTCTGGCTATCGCAAAGAACGAATTCAACAAAATGATTGAGTTGGGCATCATACGCCCCTCCGATAGTCCGTGGGCATCACCGCTTCATATGGTACCTAAGAAAAACTCTTCCGAAGTTAGACCATGCGGTGACTATAGAGCTCTCAACAGCCGGACCATACCAGATAGATATCCTCTCCCACATCTACATGACTTCACTCATAGCCTATCTGACGTGTCGATCTTTTCAAAAATTGATCTCGTCCGTGCTTACCATCACATTCCAATTCATCCAGACGATGTTCCTAAAACAGCCATTACTACCCCCTTTGGACTATACGAATTCGTCCGCATGCCTTTCGGATTAAGGAATGCTGCACAAAGTTTCCAGCGTTTTATTGACCAAGTGGTACGGGGCTTACCGTTTGTGTATGCTTACATAGATGACCTACTTATAGCAAGCAAAGATGAAAATGAACATCTAACTCATCTGAAAATGCTTTTTGAGAAGCTAAACGAGTATGGGTTAGCGGTCAATCCTGACAAATGTGAGTTCGGAAAACAATCCCTCACCTTTTTAGGTCACGTACTTGATAAGCAAGGCATTAAACCAGTTCCTGAGGAAACACAAGCTATCAAAAATTATCCTTTGCCTGATTCATTCAAGAAACTACGACGTTTCCTTGGGATGATAAACTTTTACAGACGTTTTATCCCTAAATGTGCAGACTTAGCAAAACCACTAACTGATTTATTAAGGGGACGAGCTAAATCATTAGCAATGACACCGCAAGCAATTCAAGCATTTGATCAGTTGAAAAGCGCTTTAAACACAGAGGCATTACTCGCACGACGAAAGGTTGATGCACCTTTAGCAATAATGACCGACGCTTCTAACGTAGCAGTAGGTGCTGTACTTCAGCAACGTGTCAATGAACAATGGCAACCCCTTGCATTTTTCTCAAAAAAGCTCAACGCAACGCAAACGAAATATAGCACATTCGGTAGAGAACTGTTGGCTATCTACTTAGCCATCAAACACTTTCGCTACATGTTAGAAGGCAATTCTTTCACGATATATACTGATCACAAACCCCTAACTAAGTCCTTGATGCACAATCATGATAAATATAGTCCGCGCGAAATTCGTCAACTAGAATTCATTTCACAATTTGCAGCTGATATACGCTATATTAAAGGCAACGCAAATGAGGCAGCAGATGCACTATCGAGATTAAATATCAATACCTTCTCGATCCCTGATATAGACTATCAAGAAATGGCAAAGCATCAAAAGCTCGATACGGAGCTACAAAAACTTTTGCAATCTAAGGAAACGAAATTATTATTCCAAAACATCCCCATAAACAACAAGGACACCTTAACTTGTGATAACTCAACAGGTAAAACTCGCCCTTTTGTGCCTTTCGGTATGAGACGAAATATTTTTGAGAAAAAACAGACAACTGTAAAACCGTCTAAACCTGCAGCAGAGCAAGCACCATTCAAACTACCTGCAACAAGCAACACTTCAAATCGAAATTCAGCAGCAGCACAAACTACAACAAGATCAGGAAGGAGAGTACATTGGCCAGATAGGTATGTAGCAACTACCATATTTATCTAGACCAAATCCTGAGACTACTCTTATAACACATAAAAATCCTATTTTATTTTGATTACTATTTTTTTTATTGGCCCCACGGATCATCATTATGCTTACATTTTAACTTTATACATTTCATTAATGTTAAATATACACTTGTATATACATGATATGAAACGTTTCAACACACAAGCTGTTATTACAATTTTACGCTTACTCATCATATTGAGTTGTACTTTTATTTTAAAAACAGTTCCGTTCTTTATCTCTTTGTCGAACATAGATGTTAATCCAATTTTTTTTTGGTACATAAAAACATCAATGTTCTGGATGGGAGCTTATGTGGCAAGCCCATTTGGCCACTGTATCATCTGTCTATTCATTGTAACTTAGACTCGTAATTCACTATGTTAATTTCGGTGTGTATGATCGAATGCATGTCTGTACATTAACTTTTAAACTATTTTCCTATTGGTTTCAACGTGCAGATAATCGATAGTCTATCCACACCTGATTAACCCTCAAAAATATATATGGATTTTTAACAAACTCACACTCTCTGTTCCCATCGTGTGCTTGCTCACAATACGCTTGTGGATTATCATTATTCATTAATAATAAACTATCTCCATAACTAGTGTTCAGGCTTCTTAATAATCTCGAGTAAATCCGTAATTCTACTAGGAGATTAAGCCTACCTTAAATACTCAGTTACGGAATATCATTATTTGGAGTCAGATATTAAGGACCTTATCCTTAACAAATCCCTCTATGGTTGTCACAGGATGATTTTAACCCTCGCTTATATATTGGGACGATAAGTGATTGTGACCAGTCAGATGGAATAACGTCTAACTCCCAGATCTTAGCTAAAATATTAGTCAACCTAATCGCTAAACTTGGACCACCATCCTTAAAAACCTCTGGAGCCAATCCATCTGGACCAACTGCCCTTCCTCGTTTCAGATTAACTATAGCCTTTTGAACTTCTGCTAGAGTTGGGGGACCTACTTCAATGTTCCATTCACACTGTCTGGGAATGGAGGGTAGTTGTAGAGTAGCTGAAGGCCAGCTGAACTGTTCCCTGAAATGTTCCGCCCATCGTTCTAAACGTCTGGACTGAGAGCAGATGAGGGTGTCGTCTTTTTCCGAAATAGTCTGACTTACACTTGACCTATTAATCCCAGTTTCTTATATTAGTCTGTAGAGCTGTCTTGTGTTCCCTATAGTCGCCGCCTTTTCCATCTCTTTTGCTTTCGTTGCGCATCACTGCTCACGGTCGTTCCTTAAACTTTTGCTTAACCTAGATCTGGTTTGTTTACGCTCTTCATCGTGTTCAGAGCCTAATAGGATGAGTTTGCGAGAATCCATCAGTGCAATAGACCTTGAGGAAATCCATTGGTTCTTTGTAACCCTTTGGTTTAAATCACTAATAGATGTCACTGCTGTTCCTACAGCTGTTTGTATATCTTTCCAAGCAACATCTGGGTCAACCTCGTTTTCAGAACTACCTAATTGTGACCTCAGTTGTTCCTGGAACCTACTTTTGGTTTTCTCGCTACTCAGTTCAGTTCTAATGGGTCTTTTTGCTGTGGCTTTTTTGCGTCCATTGAGGCGCAAGCAGATGCGTGCCCGTATTAGGGCATGGTCGGAGTCCAAGCAGGTACTCCATAATGAGCAACAATCTTCTACCGACCCTCTCCAACGATGACTGATGGCAATATGGTCTATTTGAGTCCATCGTTGGTTTGGTGTAGGGGGTCGCCATGTTAGACGATGCTTAAAATTTGAGTTTGCTAAAAATAAACGATTGTCTGAGCACAGTTGCAACAGACGATCACCATTATCTGTTCGTTGTGCCGGAATACTAAAATACCCACCTAAATGCCTTTCTGTTTGGTTTAAACTACCTATCTGGGCATTAAAGTCACCTGCTACGAGTGCTATGTCTGAACGTTTAGCTTTCTGAAGAAGTTCAGATAGCTTTCTGTAAAATTCATCTTTCACTTCATCTGAGCTGCAGTCGGTGGGAGTGTAGGCAGAAACGACAAAAAGGCAACGATGTGTGTCCCTATCCTTCCGAATTCTTACGGAGCCTTTTTGGCGAACAGCACATAAACGACTGTTAACGGGGATCCACTCTAACAGTGCTTGTTCCGCCCTCATGCTTAGTGCTATGCCTACTCCTGCCAGTCCACGAGAGCTGGCCGTCGGGTCACCAGATACGCGGAGGGTGTATCTTGTTGGCTCTCCGTTTTGCCGAGGTGAGGTCAAGTGAATGACCACATTGGGATCCTGTATGCGTGTTTCAGAGACACAGCATACATCAATGGTACGAGATTCTAGGGTTCTAGCCAAGGAAGCCTGTTGACCGATTTGACATAGGGTGCGTACGTTGAAGGCTCCAATGTGTAGTTTGGAGCAAGGTTTCAGTAGACCTGGGACAGTGTTTTGAGCACTAGAATCGTTGGCTGTGGTGACACTTGGGGGGGGAAAGCCGAAAAAGGAAGTGTAGAGGTGAAAGTCGATGTAGGAGGAATAATATGAATTGAAGAGGGAGGTTGATTATGAATACAGTGGTCTTGGGTGCTGTTAGAGGTATGAGGGAGGTTATCACTTCCCGGTTGCCCACACCGTGGGAGGGTTGTTCTGGAGGTACCTGAAAAGGAAATTCGACTAGAGGTGGTCATAGTGACCTAGGAGCGTGACCGCAGTGCCCAAGGGACAACTGCTTGAGGTCGGTCACATACGACCTTTTTATGGGTGATTTTTGTGTTAGCTCCATACTTCTTGAGACCTTACCGCCGGAGACGGATATCCGTGGGATAAGGCGAGGTGTGCATTTTTAGGGTCGACCTTTTCCAACCCCATCCCTCCTTGTGAGAAGGCAGCATCGCTGTCATGCTGGTTGTCTGAAGGAAACACTTTGCTGCTGTCACACCTCTGTACAGTCAGCAGTACGACTTCACCTTCGGACCTTGGGTTTGTTGCTTTTAGTCTTGCCGCTCTTCAACCGACCTGTCTGACATGGTAGGACCTTGAGGAACGGTTGTTCCAGCCAGTATAGCTCGGTTGCTTCATCACGATAGGCAAGCCCGGCCACCACGTCAAGGTAGCAACAACGGTCGGGCCCTTTTGATAGCATAAAACAAGTTGTTTTGCATATTGACTTAGACTTTGTTTAACTCAGTCCTTAAAAATTAATGTTTTATGAACTACTGTGTAGTTACTAAGTTACACTTTACTATATTATCAATATGAGTCTTTGTAATGATGAATAGAAAGTATGTCTTGTAATGTGTTATGCACAACCATAATATATGTTTTTGGAAATTTTTGTTTTCTTTCTGAGCAATATACAAGGTATCACACCACTTAACTAATGCAGTCATTATGTTATGCAAGACAGTAGGCAGGAGAGGTGAATATATTTTGAGAAGCTTCCAAGTATTCACATAATACATATACATAGCCTTCAATCATCCATTCGTATCTTTCAGTGTGTTTTGTCATCTGAACTGTCTTCTCTTCCAGTCTCCAAGTTTTCTGCCAACGCCGTACTTCTGATCCACTGAAACCCTTCACTCCATCTGATATTAGTTGCAGCTTCGACTCCACGTTCCGCTACACACTTCTTACAAACATTCTTGTGAGTAGCTTCCACTAAAACTTTAGTATCTTCTTTTGCCATTTTAACTAGAATATAACTAACTCATGTAACTGACTATGTGTATGTCTACTTAATTTCCAATTACTGAGTTTCCTGAAACGAAAGACTTGAAGCAGGGTTTATATATCTTTTCTGGTAGTTACAAGTCAATCACTTTAGCTTCCATATCAGCTCCTAATTAAACTTTAAGTACTGCACCTCGCAAGCAAGTACATGTTTATGTAATTGGCTCAGGTGTTTGGACCAAAGCAAGTGTAGTTGAATCGGGACCAACAAACTATAATGATTTCAAGTCGAGTTCCATAATTATTGAACCAGCGCTCATACATATCACTTCCTAAGCATGGAAGTGTTTACTATGTAGAAAAGCGGTTTTAAACTCGTCTGATCATACCAAATAATGGACTGATTCAATCATTTTACTTACGTTTTTGCTATGTCTTTCTCTTTTTTTTCTTCTATTTTATTAGGTCTATGAACGAGCTACGCAAACAACATCATGGTTCCTACTACGTTACACAGCTGGTCTGTTAGGTAAACGTGCTGATAGTTTGGCTAAATCGTTAGCTGATATATTAGTCTTACAGAAGCAAGTAACTGTTGGTTTACCACCAGAACCACGTGAAAAAGTTATTGATGCACCGCTATCACCGGATCAATTATGCGATTTGATACAAGAAGCGTGTGGTGAAGACAGTTTAATGACAATACTTACGCAAGTAAGAAAATCACTGTTGTTTTCACTCATTTATTAATTATATCCACTTTATTGATGAAGCTAATAATATTTACATTTAAAAATTGACAGTTTGTTGCTAAGATAAAAACTTGATTAGATTTGTTATGACTTGACACAGTTGACGAATAAAATCGCCTCAACAGTTATTTAGCTAATCAAATAAACGAAGGCAGAACAAATTATGAACCTATTATCCTTAGTTGTTAATAGTCAAGTACTCGTTAACTATTAAATTACTACCTCTAGACCTGAAATCCTTATTTTCTATTCTATTGATGGAAATTTTTCTGATATACATTGTTAGAAATTAATCGTTTTCAATGACGCAAGTGCATCCATTTTTTACCTTCACTCAGATTCTAAGCCTCTGAATTCTTCATAATTCTTTTTGTTTTTATTCTACTTATTTATATTTTCTTCTCCAGTTCTATCTTCGATATCTAATCTTTTCTATTACCACTGATACTGTTACTACCTCTAACCATCTTGGAATTTCTCTTGACAATTTCATTTGTGCTTGTGGAGTATGGGAACTTGAACCGATGTACATACGTACCAGGTTCTATGTTGCGACTAACTGACCATATTAAAAATTATATTTGAAGTAACGTTTCTTCCAGCAAACTTATCTGGACTTCTTCAGGGTAATAATCGAGATCAAGATCATCTAAGAAATATATTGCGTTTAACAGCCAAATCAAATCTATATTGTGCTAATCTATCATGTTTCGATGCTGTCATTAGTAAATAGGATAACATGAGTCAGTTAAATGCGAATCATGTGAAAAGTTCACAATGTGAAAATAAATGACTGAACGAATTGTGTGTGTGTATGTGTAAGATTGAGTTATTAATGATTGCTATTTGGTGTAATATGTTTTATATGAATAAATAAAATAAAAGTGCCAATCGAAGGTTGAAAAAAATGTTTTTGAATCATTGACGTACATGTAAAGTGAGAATAATCAATTACATAATTGTATTGCTCAAAAAATAACTCACATTAATTTCAGTCAAAATAACGATACATGTGAAATAAAGAATGGGTCCAATTACTTGTTAGCGAATATTTATCAAGTAGTCGCTAATTGAATACCATCCTTTCGGTTCAGGCTGTTCTTGTTCGCCCATACATACAGCGCTTCTGCTGTCAATCTTTCTTTATGAATGTTAAAACCTTTCTGAAGTGTTTTGGTCCCTTCAAAATTAATCTTGTGTCCTGTTTCTAACACATGTAACGCTTTAGGTTAAC